ATGTTAGGGGCCCGGTTGAAGTACCGGAGATTGAGAAGCTGGGTACGAGGGCGTGGAGGAAGAATATGCTATAAAAGAAGACGGAACATTTGAATACATGATTGAGTAATATTCTATTCATGCTACTTCAACAACTTCGATCACATATCTCTAGCGTACTAGACAAGGCCTGAATACTCACGGCCGACAAAGGCCTGCTACCAAGAAGCTTCCTTTTCTTCAGTTGTACTGGGCCCAGGACCCCGGAGAGCACATGATAGCATGTACCCCTGGGGTGGCTTCTGAACCAGGCACAACTCAGGAAGACCAAGCTTCTGCGTAGGAAAGTCGATAGCAGCGCCACGAGCCTGCTAGCCACGCACTTTGACGACCCCATTGCGGTGGCCTGGTGGACTCTTTCCCTCTTCTTTTGTATGTCGCGTGCAAATCGCGACATGTACCCATATAGTGGCCGCACTTGCAAAAGCTCAGATACTCCCCTCGATCGCGAGAGGACTGCAAGACCAGATCACATCCACGCTCACTTCTTCTTATGCCCACCCCCATTCACCAACTTCTTCTTCATATGCTTCGGCATCTTCTCCTTCCTCTTCTCACGCTTCTCTTCCTTGATCGCCTTCTTATGCGCCACCTTCTCGTCATGATCGACATGTTTCTTTCCACGGCTTGGGCCCTTGTCGAAGATACTCTGGTCAACCTCTGATCCAGAGCTACCATCGTCTGACTCAGCATCTGAAGCATCAGAGCCGTTGTTAACAACATTATCGGCAAGGAGGGCTTGGTAGGGAAGGTCGGAAGCACCACCGGCGTTGACGAGTTCGGCGTCGCGTTCGATGTCGTAGACTTGCTCGAGGGTTTGCGGGATGTATTGGTTACGGAAGACGTCGTCGTCTTCTTCTTCCTTTTTCCGTTCCTCCTCGGTCAAGGGTTCTTTGCTTAAGAGGCTGCGGATGCTCTCTTCCATCTGCGTCTGCTCCTTGACAGTCTTCGCGCCTGCCGCGCTGGTGATGTAGGCGTAAGCCTTGCGCTCACTCAGCGTCTCGACGTTGCGGGAGCGGAAGAAGTCGGACACGTTCTTGACATCCATGCGCAGGAACTCGAGAGAGCGAGGATGGTCGTGTTCGACGGCTTGCGAGACATCGATGATCCACTGCTTGCCCTCGTGGTACAGGACGTTGTACTCGCTCAAATCGGCATGGACAAGACGACACGTCTGGTACATGATGCGCATGTACGCCAGCATCTCGAGGTATAGACTTGTCCACTTAGCATCCTCTTCTTCTGCTGTGAGACCCTCGAAGCGCACATCCTTCAGACGGGGCGCTGCCTTGCCTTTGCGGTCGCCCACGAAGCCCATAACAAGAACGTGGTTCCGCAGTGCATGAGCCATTGGTGATGGAATGCCTGCATCGTGTATCCTGGCCAGATTCCTACGCTCCTTGTCTGCCCACATCCGTACCATGGCGCGGTTGTTGCTCTTGTTGTATCCTTGTCTGAAGCGGAACTCGCCCTCGACGTACTTCGCGCGGTCCTTGAAGACAAGGATGGACGTCTTGTATACCTTGACGGCACGGTGGATGGGGTCGGCGTCCTCTTCTGCGGCTTCGGTCATGGCATGGTATACGTTGGCTTCTTTGCCCGTGGAGATGACACCGTGAATCTCTGAGATTACGCCGCGGTTTATGAGTTGCAGAAGGATCATCTGCGTCCTCCGATCCAAAACTTGTTCGGTTGTCGCGCGGTCTGCTTTGTCCTTGTCCCTTGCGTTACCCCCGGACGCACCCGTCATGCGCCCGGTGAGGCGAATCTTGCCCGCATGCTTCGCGAGGGAGGCGACTTGGTCGTCGATGGAGGCGTTTGTATTGGCGGACGGCTTCTGTGGATTCGACTTGGGCTTGTGATCGTCGGGGATGTTCGTGTCATTTAGTTTTCGCTGACGGTTGTAGGCTTTGGTGAAGTCGTGGTGGTCGCCGGATATTAGTTCTGGCACTATTTCGTCTTCGTCTTCGAAAAGGTCGTCAATTTCGTTATCGTCATCGTTGGTGGGCGTATCGTTTGTGACGGGCTTTTCGACCCGGTCAACTTCTTCGTGTTGTTGCTGTGGCAGCGCTACTCCTCCGTCGGTGGTGGCCATAGTTGGTTGTGTGTGGAATGTTTACAGGATCTGAAGGATCGGCATGGGCATGTATATTTCGTCACACGTGAAATTCGAATAATTCTGCCACCGAGGGGCAACGGCGGGGCGAGCCCTGGAAGGCGGTGTAGCGACGAGTCACGTGCCGATACTGAGCCCTGCCCACGGGCGCAAGTGAGCTTCGGCTTCAGTCGTGAATCTTGGTAGCTAAAAAAACTCAAGTGAAAAGCTTACTAGCTATTTCCGGATAGCGCCCCGTTCACACCTACATCTCACACGTCTGGCACCGGGCGTCGGAGCGACTGCGCCGCCTACCAAACTGCACCTGTCAGACATGCCCCTTTGCAACCTCTCCGCGCGTCCGATGCGCCGACATGTTTGCAACCGGCCGTTGAAGAGACGTCATTGATAGACGGATGATCGCCAAGATTAGATAGGAGAGCGCGCATCGCTCCAGCTGTCAGGGCTGCCCAGGTGCGCATCGCAATGACGGGAAACGTCAATCCCTCCCAGTCGCTGGGCGCAGCGGCACAGCCACACCCACGCAGCCGGCCAACGCCCAAAGCATAAGAATTAGTGGCTGGGAAGAAGAAACATGAGCCAGATGATGCCAGGCACTTCTCCATTCTGATAGGCACCTGCGGCGTCGCCGCCAGAACGGGTTCCGCGGCTCGACTATCCTGACACGCCCTAGTCTCCACAGACGGCTGGTGAAACACTTCAGGAGAGCCATCACGACCATTCAGGTCTACGCAGCGCTTGAACTGGAGACATGTTGCATGGGCTTGAGAAGCCGCATGGACTTCGGCCGCTGGCCGCTGATGCGCGTCCTGGCGCGCAGGGGAGATTGCTTCGTATAGCATTTCGTGACTTTTAATAGTCGGTGCTCCTCTGACACGCAGCACTGGCCTGCACTCTTTGTCTAACCTTTCATACTTCACACTCTCTCAGTCGATTCTCTGGACGCAGGTCGACCTCAGTCACTACATTCTTTTCAACGCTCGCTTGCGAAGCACTACATTCCTTAACACCACTCTACGCATTGTTGACATTGTGTCTTGAGTGTGAAACGACGCCGTACAGCACATCTCGGACGACTACTTCTTTTTGTCTTATCAACTTATCTCGAACCACTAGACTTTACCGAGATATTCACTATGCGTTTCTCCACATACTCTACCGCGAGCGTGCTGGCTGCTCTGGCCACCGCTCAGACCTTCACTGATTGCAACCCCATGGAGAAGAAATGCCCTAACAACCCTGCCATGCCCCAGAACTGGGAGACCGACTTCACTGCCGGAAAGGACGCTATCAAGGGATGGAAGCAGACTGCCGGTTCCCTGAAGTATGGACCCGAGGGCGCTGAATTTACCGTAGCCAAGAAGGGTGATGCTCCCACCATTGGATCCGAGGCCATGCTTCACTTTGGATACGTTGAGGTCGTCATGAAGGCAGCTCCTGGCGTCGGCATCATCTCTTCAATTGTCCTTCAGTCTGACAACTTGGATGAAGTCGACTGGGAATGGATTGGTGGCGTAGACAGCCGTGTTCAGCAGAACTACTTCGGCAAGGTACGCGACCAACAATTTGCAATGTCTTTTCCCGAAAACTAACACCAGCCAGGGCAACACTACCACCTACGATCGTATGATCGAAGCCGATGCACTCAACAACCAGAACGAGTTCCACAAGTACGCTCTCAACTGGACTTCTGAGTCGCTCACCTGGATTGTTGACGACAAGCCTACCCGCACATTGAACTTTGCCGATGCCAACGGCGGCAAGAACTACCCCCAAACCCCCTGCAATGTTCGTCTCGGAAACTGGCCAGGCGGTGACTCCAAGGACGAGGGTACTCGCCAGTGGGCGGGAGGAAACGTCACCTACGACGATGCGCCCTTCACCATGACCGTCAAGAGCATCAAGGTCATCAACTACTCGCCCGGCAAGGAGTATGAGTGGACCGACAAGACTGGCGACTTCAAGTCCATCAAGGTCATCGATGCCGGTAACACAGAGGGTGCTCCTGTCAACAGCGTAGCCATCGAGGACTCCGCTGCTGCTACCGGAGCTCCCATCGAGTCTGGCATCGACGCCCCAGCCGCCACTGGTGGTTCTGACAGCGGTTCCGACTCAAAGCCCTCCGGTGCATCCACTACCTGCACGGAGAGCGACGCAGCAAAGCCCACACCTCCCGCTGTCCCAGCCGGCGGCAACGGCGGATCCGGCTTCAACTACCCCACCGGCGGCGCCGCTGTCCCCCAAGAGTCAGGCAGCCCTGGTTCTCCTACCGGCAGCGACAGCGAAGATGAGCCTTGCGAGTGCGGTACTGCTACCGTCACCGTCACCGGCGCTCCCCCGGCAATCACCAACGCACCACCCGCCACCTTCACGACTGAGTACCCTGCCGTACCCATCTCCAGTCTGATCACTTCCGCGGCAGCTTCATCTCCTCCCTACCCCACCGAGTCTGGTCTGGAGATCGACACTAGGTCCGCACCTGGTGTTGTTGTGCCATCGATCGCGCCTACTGGTGCGCTGCCTCAGCCCTCTGGCAACGCTACCTTCTCTGCTCCACCATCGCAGTTCACTGGTGCAGCGAGCCATGTCAAGGCCGGCGGTCTTGTCGGTGCTGTGATGGGTGCCGTCTTGCTTGCGTTCTAAGTCGCTTGACGGAATACTGATGATATCGGAAAATATATGCAAGGGAAAATTACGTTGGTTGTAAATATTATTTCAGTGGTAGAGCGTTCGATACGCATACCACCGTTTTTGACGATAAAGACACGTTTTGATCAATTTCTTTCTTCCGTTCAATGTGCTTTCTTAGTGAAAAACGCTACCGAACTTTGCCATGCGTGAGATACTACCGATAAAGCTTGTCCTTCCTAGCTGGCTTCCCATCGATAAGCCCAATCCTCCCCACATCCTCATTAGGTTCCATGTCAGCGACGAACCCCGGGATCTCATGCAAAGCCTCGCACTCTTCAATATCAGCAATCGTAGAATACCGTTGAAGCTTCGCTCGGTACGTCTGCTGCAACTCAGCCCCAAGCCTGAAGACTGTATGCCCGTCCAGAATCGCGCTCCATCGTCGCCTGAAGCTATAGACAAGGCAGAGGCCTGAGCTGATCAAAGCCCATAATCCGAATAAAGCCATAGGAACAGCAGCCGGCATGACGCCCGGCTCAATTACGGTACCAGCGACGAAAGCTGTTAGGTCGGGAACGTGTGACTTGAGGCTGGTCTTGTTGACGCCTATGAAATCCCGACCGTCATTGTACATGAGCTTGATGGCGTAGCTGGAGTAAGCTTGTAGAAGGGCTTGTCGAAGTTGGTCGGCTTGTAGATATTCGAGCTGATCATTAACTCTCATGAAGCCAGTGAGAACCCCTTCTCTAGCATCTCCTATCAACGTGTCAAGCGGTGACGGTAGGCCTATGGAGTCATACAGCCACTTCAACCAACCATCGTCGGTGATGCTGAGTGTACACGCGAGTGTCTCTTCGCCAAAGCGTTTCGCACAATCGTCCTTTCGAGGAGGTACCGGAGTGTCGCTCCGTTGGAAGTTGGAGTAAGTAGAGCGCACGCCGTCGATGTTTGCTGAGCCTACACTGCTACTTGACGTACAGGACGCACCAATTGCTGCGAGTTTCTCATCCTCCTCGGCGACGTACTCACCAAACAGGGACTCGATATTAGGGACGATGGTGCTGCGCTGAGAAATTGGTAAGTAAAGTTTCTGCCACAACAGAACCTCAAAATTCCTCTTGTGTTCGATTCCGGGATACGGTTTTGAAGTATCCTCTTGCAGATTATGGTAGCAGTAAGACGTTGCCTGGTTTTCCATCTCATTAAGCCAGCCACAGGGTGGTTCGTCGTTCGAACGTATTTGTGGCGGTAGGGATTGATACGCGGTCTCTATGACTGCACCGACATCCAATGTCTGTTGCAGTAGAGCGGCCTCGACACCTGGATCGAAACCTCCTCTGGGCTCTTTCTTTACCTCCACAAAGGTACTGTTGTCATGAAGACGATACGACATATACGTGACTTGTTTCTCATAATTGAAAAGGGCGCATCCTGTGCAGTTTGAAGGGAGCTGTGCTTGGTTCAGAAGACGAGGCGGAGGTAGCAGCTGAAGCAAGGCTGCCAGTCGGGTCCAACGGGGAGGCTGCTGTCATAAACTCGTCGATGGGAGGATCCTCATCCGCTCTTCGTGAAGTTCCTGTTCGTTCGGATTCGGGAAAGATGGAGTTACTTCTCCACACATCTGTTGCAGATCGACGGTCTTTTAAGAGAACGAAGTCAGACACTTTGTGTACGATATTGCAATCGTAATGTAGCAACAGACCCCAAGCTTTTCCCTCGATAGGAGTTTCACCTTGAGCGGTCAAAAATATACCTTCGACGCTCTCAGTGTTCGGCAGTATCACCGGAACATTCTTCAGAAACTTGTTCTTTGATCGATCGAAGTTTTCGGGTGTGTACACAGCGCCATGTCCGAGAACACGAGGGCCGATGTAGGATCCTCGAGAGGGTCTCCGACCCTCAGGGTTGGCGTTGAACGTCGATTGAACGAATCCGGTAACCTGCGCTCCCCATGGCTCACCGTGAAGAAAACCACTAGTCATCTCGAGACAGAGACCTGATAAGGGCCAGGCCACGAAGACAAGCACGCTTGGAAGTGCCAGAACGAACCACAACCGAGAAGGAAGCTTGCTATGCTGGTTGCTTACTCTGCGCATCTGCACAACCCATCTGACTGCTTTCATCCAACCACCGGGGCCAGACCATGTATTGTCGGCATGCAACATAAGACGCATGGCATCTTGAACCCTCCAGGTTTGTTCCATGAGCATGCTGGCCTCGGCACCAGCCAGTCCGTAGAGACTTAAGTTCAGACCAGTCACTCCCGCGACGAACCAACTATAGAAGACCCATTTGGCGCCCGGTGGTCCAAAGGCTACTGCTGAGTCGGGTTGGAGTGGAGCGAGGTAGATGCGCCAAACGGTGATGAGATAAGATACTACGATAATTGGTCCCAGGATGCCGACTATGGTGCGGAAGTAGAAGCGGCGAAGAGGTTGGCCGAATAAACTGGAAGCCACATCTTGGAAGGTGTTGGGCTCTGAACTGTCAATGTACTCTGATGTGAGACCGGCTGCATAGTTCTCTGGATAGATTTCAGACGGGTGATCAGGTACACTTGCAACGAAGCTATGCGGGTTTGGGTCGACGTTGCCATTGTGTTGATGTTGAGTACTTTCAAGGTTCTGTTGGTGATCGTATTCTGAGGCGAAGCCGTGCTCAGAGAGCAGGCTGACTGGGGAGACCTCAGTCGTGAGCCCCTGCGGTCTGCAATTGTCAGTCACAAACCCAGGTCTCATCGCAGAACGAAGCTTACCGGTACTCGGACTCATACTCCCCCATCTCCCAAGCAAGGGCTCCAGGCACACCGAGTAAGCTGTAACGTTGAGAACTCATGTCGGCCAAACGTCGAAGATGAGACGCGAACTTTCGCAGTAAAGTGGGAAGTGGCAGGGGGCTGGACAGCGAGCCATCTTGTATATGGGGTGCACTGCTACCCGTTTCTTTGGCATCGCGGTTTCATCCTTGTGATGTTGCACAGGGCTGTGGTCGAGGTGTGGGGGCGAAAGAGCGAGATTGAACTCCAGCCCTTGCACCTTCTGTATTGGCAACCAGCTGTTCGGGATCCACATGACAACACCGATCGCTTACTATTGGCAAGCACCATGAAGATGTTATCTTAATATTGCGCTGTTATTCTTGCGACTACATGGGGATTGTTTCTGGTAATCCCGGTGAGAATTGGTGCAACCACCTGGCCAATCGCGTTTAGAGTATGTGTACACAATACAGGACCAATCCGCGCAGCACCAAATGCGCCTTCCCAAGCACCTTCCCTGATGACGGAATGAATAGAGTGTGCCTTTGACTCAGTCTGCGGCCTGGTCTAGTTCTGGCTGGTCATTGAGTTCCTGATAACAGAGCTGACCTTCCCGCCTCAATGCCACCCGTCATCGCCAATGACTCCCAGAAACCGACAACCATCGCTCACACGGATCTCAGACATCTCTAACCGTAACCCTAAGATTAGGACCAATCTCTCTTCTCACAACATAAAACCCACTGTCTTCCCTCCTTTCCGTGGTGTACTGATGCTGTTTACTCCTCTGCCACCACTTCCTCTTAGCAGCTCGCGAGCACTTTGCCTTGATACAACTAATCCACTTGGAGCATTTGCAGAGTGAAACTTTGTACCATGCACATTTTCCGCCACTTCCAGTCCCCTCCGCTCCTGCATGTGTAGCGTTCTTCTTGTCACTAGCAACACCCTCGGCTGCGGGCACACCTCGCGGCTGTAGAGCTGGCGGCTGCCGCTTCGTTCGTCTGTCTCTCTGGCCCCACTTTGTCCGCCGTTGGACTCCTTCGAGCAAGGACCCGGGGACGAGGTATGTTGATGGATCGGGAGGGTAGGGGTTGACGAGACCGTAGGGTGTGCTGAAGGGTGTAGGTGTGATGGGTTGGAGGTAGGAGAATTTAGTTTCGGAGCGGAGTTCTGGGGTTGGCGCGACGGTGCAGTGGCTTCGTGTACGCCTGAGGTCGGGTGAAGAGTTTGATGCTGGATCATGTTTTACAGGCGCTCTGTGGTATGGATTGGGATAGTCTGTGGGGCTGGGACGGTGGTGGAGGTTTGTGGGGGAAGATCCCGCTTCATGCTTGACTTTGCTCGCTCCTGTCGGAATGTAGTATCCCTTTTCTCGTTCCTCTTCTATCTTGACTTTGGAGGCTGGGTGTGACGCATCGAAGTCACGGAAAGTCTCGACAGCGAACCTCTTGTAGCTCGAGCTAACCGACGGACCTGAAGTTTGGCTGCGAAGTGACAGTACGTCCCTATGTACTAAGGAAACATCGCTCTCCTTCTTGACTACTGTAGATCGGTAGAACTGTTCAGCCAAGGGGGTCGGTACACGGAGTGGCGATTTGGACCATGCTGTTGTGAAGGATGGGTAGTGTGGTGGTGTTTCGAGATCGGCTTTATCTTCGACCTTGATGTGAACTGTATGATGACGAGAGGAAGGTCCTCCGGGCTTGACTACTTTCGCTTCTTCCCTGTAGTCTCGACGTCGGGATGCTGGCGAGGTTGGGTATACCGTGTTATCGGGACTCTCGGGCTCAACTTTTACTCGTGGGCGAGTCTCTTGCTTTCTTCCCACTACTGCTATAGTGCTTTCAGTTCCAAGCGCGCTGAATCGGCCAGGTATTTGTATGATTTCGGGAGTCTTCGGTGTCACAAGATTTCTGCTGTGTGTACGAAGATCCCGTCCTGAAGAGTTTCGCCTGGATTCGGTGACCTTGGGGAGGACCATTGTATGCCAGGGCTATCTTGCTTGATAAGGTTTCGATAGTATAGTAGATGATTGCGACGCAGAATTCGTTCCCTGTCCTCGCAATCTTCGACGATGTTGCTGAATAATTGAATGCAGGTAGGCGTTCAGGACAGTTTTTAGAGAATCGAAATGCTTGGTGAGTGAGTAAAGATAGAGCCCGGTGATGTGCCATCGGTTGCCGACGATGGAACAACGTGATCGGGGAGGGGCCTGGACGCGGTAGATGCTGTGAGGTCTGCAGGGCAATTACGAATTTCGCTGGTCGTCTACTCAGTGTGGCATGTCATGTGTGGGCGTACCCGAGGAAAGGGTTCTTGGTGGACCCGTACGCCCAAGATTCAATCGACCACCTGTTCTTCGCGGATAAAGACACGTAAGCTGTTTTGGTAATGATTTGATGTAAGCATGCCCAAATGGAAATGTAATGAAGACGTCGGACCAGCGCAAAGAAGACGATCTTGACGGAGTTATGGCATTGTCTGTCGAATGTAAGATCGAAAAACCTGCGTCAGCTGACCACCCATTGACATTGACACTGGCTCAAATGCGCCTCTTCCCGTTGCTCTCGATGCCTAATACGTCCCGTACGTTGCGATGTGGAAACTGGAACATTACCCTTGGAATTGTCCAAACGCAACATCACCTCCTCCGAAAGTGGAGCAAGGGTACCGTCCGATTTCATGGTCATTTTCGAACAATAAGGGGTCTTTCCAATTGGCGTCCACTCCTCGACCAACTCAACGGCGTAGGGGAAATCCGGCAGCGTAGTGGAATTATCCACATCGACCGTGCCTGATGCAGTGTTGGTAGCGCTGGCAGTTGTAGCTCTGGTAGGGTAGATGTAGCCCTCAACAGTGGTCTCATTGAAGATGCACTGCCACAGACTATCCCCAGGTTGAAATGGAGTATTTGACGTCGAAGCATGCACTTGTGACTCTCCAGCCAGAGGTAGCTCATCCTCGCTAAGCAATACAATTTTGTCGTAGGTAGTGCGGAAGTGATAGGCAAAATCGTTTTCGTGCTCAGCACTGTTAAATGCCAGAAGCTCCAAAGGTGGAATGTTCGGTATGCGTTCGCCATGGCAGACAGTATCGTTACTTCCCGGTGGCCCCACCGCTATCATGATCGTGCTGTCGTTGCCCGCCAAAGCTGGAAGTATGCTTAGCTGAAAGGTTGTTTCAGACGCGCATTGCCACGCATTTATCTGATCCTTGCTTGCCAGACATGCCATACTCTGTTGCTGCGGAAGCTCAACAGGCAACGCAAAGATCCCACGTCGGAGGCCGTTGGTGATGTTGGTACTTGGAGGGCCATTGCTAGCAACGTGTGCTTTCGCATCCTCATCGCTGTAGACTATATGTTAATGGTAACCTTATAATTTGACTCCGTACATCTTACCTGGTTGAAGATCGATCTTTGACAGCAAGGAGACTCAGCCCAATCGCAAGGAGCATCAGAAATTGTAAACTCAGCAAAGTTAAAATACGTTGCCGTTGAGACATTCGCTGCCATATACATCTCGGGAGGCTGGGCAGAGGCTTGTTGAAATTATCGACTTCCTCCCATGACGGCACGAAGACTTCTTTCTCTTCTTGATCTGGGCTGAGTATAGGAGCGGAGAGAATATTACTCCTTTCGAAAGGGACTGCCTCGATCCCATCCTCGATCTTTCTGATGAGGCAAGTCCCGGAGTGAATTCCAGATGTGTTCGTTGAGTCAGAGCCGCCGTAGTTGGCCGGGAAGGTGGTATAAATGCTAGGGAGTGGCTGAATGCTGCTGATTGACCGGTAAGGCAGCCGCATGAGTGCAGTCCAAAGTTATTTTCGAATAAATATTAATAAAGAATGTATTCCTGGCGTTGGATCTGGACCGGCCAGACACGCAGGGCTGCAGGAAGCGAATGAGAGAATAGAGAGTGAGTAAAAATAATGAGTGCCGCATACCAGAGTAGTTCCACATGAAGGGATATAAACAATTGCTCATGACCTGTTGAGTTCATGAGAAGTATGTGCCGTGCTTGCATATCGCTTTAGCTACGCCGTGCTCATACTAAGCTCGATATCCAATCGAACACCCACCACAACCAGGGTCTGCCTGTATCTCGGCTCGTTTTTGCTATCAGATCAAGGACAGATTGAGGAAGAGGCTGGAAGTATAATCGTTAGCAGCCTAGAGTATTGGCTCTGCGCTCTCCATATGCGATGGATTGTAGGTAGACTATACGATAGCCGCCCATCCTCATGCCGGTCCTCGGGACGGCCGTGGTGCCTGGAAGCCAAAGCGCGGACCGGACCGAATGCGAACAGCTGTCGCGAAGAATGGGATCAGGAAACGCGGTTTGACTTGTGCGCTTGCGCAAGCCGAGGCCACACATATAATTCTCGGCGTAAAGTATTGTTGGCAAGCTGTGCTCGAGACTGAGAGGTTCAAATGCATAAGTCGCGAGTAGAGACCTCCGTGTTGAATCGAACATGGTTGTTGGAGCAAGCAGCGCGAAAGGTTGTACCGTGTGTCAACGCGCGTGTTTGGTGTGTGACGACTAGCCGCCGCCCAGACGTGCCGCAGGTCGCATCACCGGTCGAAGACAGAGCGATCGAGTAGAGCTGTCGGCCTGTATCTCTGCCGTCTCGTTCTTTTACCGCCGAGTGTAGAATTGCAGCACGTGTGAAAGCTCATGCTTGGTCGGCCGCCTAGGTGATGGGTCCAGGGTATTGAGACGCGTCGTGGAAATGTGGGTGGTTGGTTGGGCTAGCTCCACCAGCTCTTCCGAGGCGGGCAGGATCGACCCGAAGCGCGTCAGGAACCCGACCAATACGTTCACGACCCTCCAAAGACACCCCATTAACTCCCGCTTCCTCTTGGTGAGGAACAAGACGCGCTTCGAATTGTGCAGTTGCGTTCCCGTTCCAAGAGTGCACTAATATCTACCCCGTTCTACTGTCTGTTCCCCGGTGAACGCAGAGGCCACCAAGTTTCGCAAGTATTGACATGTTTCGAAACAAGAAACAGTGCACCAGCGTCATCTCACCATTGTTTCGAAGACAGGCAATCTTCAGGATTTTATACTGAATT